AAAGAGTCTTAAGTGGCTCTCTGACTCTTTTGGAGATGATGCCTGTGGAATCTTTCCTCTGAAAAATCCATACACGTCAAAGCTTGGCATAGATGTCAGGTTAAGAACCTTTGGGACAAGAGATACAGTCTGAGCTTTATATTATTATGGCATATGCAGGCCTTGGAGATTTGCCCTCTGCCTACTTTGCCATCATCAGCACCCATTACTGCTACACTTTCATCCTGTTTTGCAGCCACATTGAATTACAGAGTAGTTAAGAGTGAAGCCTCTGCCTAGGCTCTGATTCTGGCCCTGCCACTTAGGTTTCCAAGAGCGTGTTCCAAAGCTCTCTGTGCATCAGTCTGCTCATCTCTACAATGGAAATAATAATAATATCTCTCTCATAAGGGGGTTTGAGGATTAATGAGTTAATACATATAAAGCACTTAGAATCATACCTGGCATATGATATGCATCAAAGAAGTATTAGTTATTTTTATTAACTATATGGTTTTATGTATTGGCACATATTACTCTCCCTATCTAGGATGCCTTTTCTCTCCCCAATTCTAGCTCCCCTTAATTGATTCCAATTCATTTTTCAAGATGTAGTTCAAGTCTTACCGCCTTGTGAAGACTTCTGTGGTTTTCTGACAATGCCCCATCCCTCTTACACATAACTCTAGCAATAGGTGGTGCAGTGTACTGAATTTGTAATTTACACATATGCACGTATTTGCACATATGCTATAAGGCTAACAGCTGTTTCCCTCTTGTTTACATAGTTCGCTGCTTTTAACACCCTACCTGCTACAGGGTAGGCTCCCACTAAGCATTTGTCTAATGAATGAATGCGTGAGGGAATGAATGAATGAATACCTTCCCTACCTGGGAGAGAAAGGCTCATGTGTCTGAACATAGGTTTGTGAGTCTTCAAATACTTATTTCTAGCCTAGTGCTTGGCATGTGCTCAAAAATGCTTTCTGAATTGTTCTGAAATACACTCATCTGTTAACTTTGGTTAAATGAGAATTATTTTTTAAGAATCATTTATTTAGACCTTAAAAACTATAATCTACACTGTACATTTATTAAAGTTTTAAGTCAGATCTCTCCTCAAAATAGGCTCCGAAGTTTTGGGACCAAACAAGAAGAAAATTTCCAAAGCCAGAGAACTTTCTAAGAGCTTTCCTCTAGTGAAAAATTCAGCAACAGCCCCTGTTCAGTCACCCTGTCCGTGCTGCTTTATAACACAATACATACAAGAACAACATAGACACAACTTCTCTCTGTCTTGGCTGATAAACATTCATCAGCAAACACAAACTTCTCAATCGGGTAGAAAACAGAAAAAAGAAATGAAAAACAAAAAGGAAGATTCATTAGGTTCACTAACTTTTTTTTTTTTCTAAACACAAATGAGGCCAAATCACTGGAATCCTGAAACCAAAGATGAAATGAAGCTCTGCAGCAAACCAGAATTATGTTCCTTCAAAGCTTATGCCTTTACAGAAATTCTACTCATTAAAGGTCAACATCAAATGGGCATGAGATGTATTTAGACAGCACAAATTAACTCCTTAAGTATCATTGCAACTCTGGGAGTACATACCTTAAGGAGCTATTAAAAAACAAAAACAAAAACCAAAACCGAATATAACTCAACAGTCCTGATAATTTATAATGCATATACAATTGGTTCACCTGCATCCTTTTGATTCTCTATTTGAAAGAGAGAGCACAACAAGGAGAGAAGAGAGAGAGAAACAAGAACACATATGCAGGATTAATGAGCAAGTGGACCAAAATGCCCCCCACTTATGTGTGATACATGATATTGGAAAGAAAAGGTTTCCCTTGGCTTCCCACCGCCCCGAAGTGTGGGGGCCAGCAAAAAAAGGCTCCTTCACAGAGGTGGAAAATGCTGCACAAATAGAAAATTAGTAAAATTAAGTTTAATGTGAAATCAAGCTATGAAACATAAACAAACTCTCCAAGTGACAATTAAGTCATATGTTCTAGCCAGAGCTTAGAGGACAAGGACAAGTCAAAATCTCCAGAGAGAATAAGGAAAAGCTTCCCAGCTTGAGAGAGAACAGACAGGAGGCATAGAAGATCTAATATTTATAGAGAATGGACCACGTCGTGTGATCTCATACCCATAACAGTTTGACATCTTAAACATGGAAAAGAAGGCATGACTTTGCCCCAAATGTCCTTCATCTGACACCTAACCCATTGCTCCCCGGCCTAGCTGCTACCTTTTGATTGTGTACCAGTGACAAGCACTTTACAAATTAGGGTTACACACAAGCAAAGTAAAAATGCATTCAGGTCACAGACAGAATAACTGAAAAACTTACAGACAAATCTGAGTTTATCACAAACAAATGGCTTAATTGTCTAACCTGTTTCAGGCTGATAAAAAGTGACTGGACTTCTCACACTGGGTTTCACAGACAGAACCAACAGACAAGCCAATGCTAAAAAACTTGAAGCAAGGAGAGTGAGTTGGTTTGGATCTGGATTTTCTTGAAATAATGAGAACAGAAAGAGTGAAGACAGCATGGTGAGGAGGTGGTAGGTACTCACGAATGGTTAAATCCATCACTTGGGAGGCCAAGCAGAAGACAGGATGCTCATACATTTCTCTCTTTTTCCCTATAAAAGAGGATTTGGGCATGCAAGAGGCTTAGGTCAGAGGTAAAGAGGTTAAAGGTCACAGGTTAGAGGAAAACGTTACATTAGCTCAAAGGAAAATAGCCACAGAGTATTTTGGGATAAATACGGGATAAAAGAAAAAGGAGTCTCAAAATTGGAAATCTACTGGATTAACCATTCAGCATGCCGTGAGTCACGAGAAAGATTGTGACCATGATTTTACGCATTTCTCTAAAGTTGTTTGCAAGAATACAATGACCAAAAACATCATGAGTAAGGGGAAACAGAATTTCATTGATTTAAGGCTCCAAGATACTAAGGACTTCAGACTTTAGTATCTAAGGCTCTTGAGGTATTTCTTCATAAACATAGTCTCTAGCAATATTACTACAACTTCTTTCCAAAATTCTCAGATAACCAAGCTGTTAATGCTCACAGAGGGGCTCAAATGTAAAAATGGAAGATTTTCTTTCTGAGGCTAGTAACAGAGCATTGTAAAAGAAAGTTGTCTGGTAGTAATATCTTTAAGCTGCAATGTCTCAGCCTATGGTGGACTATGTTCATGAAAGAAAACCTGATACATGCAGCCAGAGGATGTTGGGTTGTCTGAATTCACAATCCCAGCATGCTTTGAAATTGGTGTCTCAGCCACTTTTGCAGAGGTCACGTCAAAAAGTGGTTGAGCCAATCACGGACAAGGAAGGAGAGAAGCAGAAGAGAGCAGGTAGTGTGGAATGAGGTACTTCTCTGAAAAGAGAGTTGGAAAAAAAGGATTGGTTTCTTCAAAGAATCCCCAGACCTAAAAGTCACAGTGCAAAAGATAATTAACACAACCAAGAAGAATTGAGGCACAAAAGGAAATTACAGACCAGCTGATCTACTTTGGAAATGAATGCATTTTTACTTACAGATCTTAAAGTTTGATTTTGGATATATTTATCTGAAAGAAGAGAGCAGATCATACCAAAAGACTAGAAATAGCTAGACCAAGACCTATCAGGCAGCAGCCATGGCAACTGAACGTTTCGTGTTTCCATCCCATCTCTGGCCTTGACTCAAATTATTAGGTACCCGGTTGACTTTACCAAATACAACCGATCATCATGTCCTGGGACGGTAAATGCTGGAACAATTATTTGCTAATACAGCCCTTTCAGGATCTTCTCATTCTTTTATTTTTGTCACTCATTACCAAGTCAAGAGTTGATAAACATCCTTTTAGTGCCCAATTCTTAAGTGTTTCTCCCTGGATGCATAACAATGAATTCATTACCACTGGTACACAATTTGCATTGTCAGACAGACAAAATTGAGAGAGGGCGAACATGTAATGTACAAACACTGTGAATTTGACATGATCTTAACCTAATTCTCTAAGGAAACAAGGATGTTGGCAGGGTAAATGATGGGGTCTGGGTGGTTGGTCAGTTTTGTTTTTTGTTTTCCCAGTTGTCCTGAGGTAGACAATGTACATTTGCTGGTTTTAGTTGGTGTCATGTTTCATGTGTGAGAGAACATCAGATTCCAGAATGCGGACACATCGAGTTTTGCACACAGAACTTCCACATTTATACACTTACACCACTGGTCAAGTTGGGTGTGGTTTTCAAATCACCCTATAGCAGCCAACAGGGTAACAATGAAAAGCGATTAATACCTTTGTGAATGAATAGGCCCCAAAGAACCATATCTTCTCAAGTAGAGTTTAGTCAAAGCGCCTGTGATGATTACCTGGTCACCAGTGACCGCTTCCCTAAAGCTTGAGAGGGCAGTGGTAACAAGCATCCTAGGTCTGGAGTAACAAGAATGAATGAGATCTAAAGCCAACCTGGAGCCATCAGAGGTGGCTCAACATTAACCTGCCATCAAGTTTGAAACGCTACCAAAAGACAAGCTGCTTTCAAGGGGCAAGAGAGAGTTAAGCAAAACCTGGATGTTGCTTTCTTCAATTCTTGTGTTACTTCCAATGCTATTAGCAGTGGATGACAGACTGCTTCGTTTTTCTCTATGTAAAGAAGGTAGAAAACCTTCAGAACTCTTTCATAGGAAAACATTAGCCACAGAGCAGATACTTAGGGCCAACGCAGACTCTCAAAAGGAACTTAGTTATCTGATAACATCCTATATTCAATATTCTTTCCCTACCAAGGATGTTTCCTGAGTTCCTGTCTTGTCTTTTAAAATTCATTTATTTGGTCATAGCCAAGGAAGCTTCCACATTTCAAGTTTCATCAGGTTTCAGCTTAATGTACTCAGGTGGATCACTGTTTTCTGGTGCCCATCAGAAAAGAATAAAACTTCCCCAGGGAGGCATACCAAAATTTAAATTCAAAACCGGGGGCAGAAGGGAGCCTCACCTTCGATTTTGGCATACTCTGAGAGCCGAGAATAGTTGACTAAAGCAGCCTGCTCCAGACATTTACGAATTACTGTTTTAACCTCCTCTTGTGGCACTGGGGTAACAATATCTTTCATCAAGACCTTTAGGTAGAAAAAAAGGGATTACTACAAAGTTTTAAACAATGTGTTACTCATTTATATTTCTTAAGGAGTTCAAGTTTAAACTTAGTTATGAATGCCTCCTGCAACTTACTACTGATAGAGAGCCATGGTAAAGAGAGAGCACTAGAATCACAATGCAGTTAGGATGGTAAAGCTTGTTCATGAATCAGGGGAGGGCTAGGAACATCTTCAACATATCCTAACTATTTGGGAGTCTGGAGATAAAATATCTAGAATTTTAGCAGTCTCTTCGCTCTTATTCTGATATTTGATGGATGGCAAACAGATCCTCTAAAAATTACAAACTAGGTCATTCAATCACGGTATTTCATTACAATTATGTTCATTTCTCTTTGGAGCACTAGAATCACAATGCAGTTAGGATGGTAAAGCTTGTTCATGAATCAGGGGAGGGCTAAGAACATCTTCAACATATCCTAACTATTTGGGAGTCTGGAGATAAAATATCTAGAATTTTAGCAGTCTCTTCGCTGTTATTCTGATATTTGATGGATGGCAAACAGATCCTTTAAAAATTACAAACTAGGTCATTCAATCACGGTATTTCATTACAATTATGTTCATTTCTCTTTGTAGATGTGATATATCTTTCACTTTCATTCTTACCCTTTCCAAGAGTGAGAGAGTGGCTTTTAATGCACCTTCAGGTCGACCAAATGGAAAGCAATACCTAAAAAAGACATAAAATTCTTCAGGTTGCCCAAATCTATTACATTTTAGCATGAAATATGCTGAAATCTGATTCCTATAGCAACTCTCTGAGGAATGGAAAATGCTTTTTATTTTGTCGCACTGTGTTATGTTAATCTGAATTCACACCATATATGTGTGTATATAATGTATATATGTGTATGTGTGAATAATGACTAAAGAGGGACTCTGCAAATGTCTGCAGCAGAAAGGAATATTGAAGTGATGACATAAAGCTCTGTTTAGATTTCTATTGTGAAGGAGAAGTTCAAATGTGACTGTAAGATTATTATGGTGACCAGCATTAAAAAAAATATTAGTTGAAACAGGCTGAAGTTCAAACACACATAATTAAATTCCTAAAGGATGAATATATGAAATAGAGGAGTTTATTTAGAGCAAATTCATAATTCTGCTGTCTTTACTTGCTCATGGTTGTTTACTGTTTTTGAACCTTTTGCTATTAGAAATGCATTTTACACATAGTGTGTGAACAATAAAAGTTTATCCAGGAGGATTTTGATGGCACAGATAGAACTCTGCCAGGTACCACTTGACTATTTCAGGCTGTCACAGGCCATCAGAACACTGTTCCTCATGGTACAGAGAAACCAGTGTGGGCTACCTAAACTCAGACTATCCTATACATGCACCCCACTTCTTCCACTTGCCGGCTGGGGGTCCTTGGGCAAGTTCCTTAACCGCTCTCAGCCTCAGTTTACTCCTTTTTAAAAAGGGGATTATAATAACTACCTTACAAAGTTGTTCTGAGAATAAAAACATGAGTTAATACTTCTCCAGCCTCCCGTCCTGTACCTGCAGACAGGAAGTATTTAATAAATAGGGAGTACTATAAATGCTATTGCTATTTTTGTGTTATTATTAATTTGCTCCAAGAAAGAAGTAGGCTATGCGGTGTAAGGCGTAAGTGCAGATCTGCAGATCTGCAGGATGTCTCCAGTATGGGGGGAGGATTCAATCCTCCCAGGCTGATCTGAGTTTCTTTCTTTCTCCACATAGCCAGCTAGTTCTTTTTCTGAGACAGCAGAGAAGGTGGAGAGTCTCTTATGGGTAACACTACCATCCTCTCCTGTTCATTATGATCTGATTCACAGGATTTTGTTTTGTTTTGTTTTTACTGTTTTATTTAGGAACCTTGAAGAAGCTGCAAATTAAACTTTTTATACTACACTGATGACCAAGGACAGCTCGCACAAGAAAGGCTTTGTTTCGCTAGTGGAAATAAAGTGAACTTAAGAATTCAAAGTCTCCTGGCTACTGCAAAACCATGTCCCATTGCTTTTTCCATTCAGTTATTTCTAAATATCCAATGTGTCTTTGATAGATTTACAGTTTTGGAAAATCAAGCCCTTTATTTACCCCTTCCCAGTCCTATCCTTTTAAAAAGCCCCTAAACCCCATATCCTTACCTAAAATGTGTAATCTGATTTTCCAACAGAACTCGGAGTCTCTCTTTGATTTCTTCAAAACGTTCCTTTTCTTCAACAGTCACAGTTCCAATTCCATCAGGCCTGAAAGAAGACATGTCATGAAGTGACGGGAACCTCATATGCTGACACCATCAAATCAAATCTCTAGCAGGAGGAAACTGTCCATTTTAGAAGAAACAACTACAATGATAGATGTAACCTAAGGAGAAGCCCTGCTATTCAGGGCTGGCTTCTAAAGGGGATGTTTTGAGGTTATCATTTTGGAGACACTTGCAGAACTGGAGCTCATTTTTTCTGAAATGGTGAAATGTACAAAACTAGTGACTTGAAGGTTAAGTCCATCTCCTAGACCTGTTCCGTTTGGCTCACAGATTCTTAAAAAATTTTAACTAGTTGCCAACATTTAAAAAATTAGGATGGCTTTATAATGCAATTCTGATTTCCAGTTTCTCTTGAGAATTCAGAACAGCTGGCATTATTAATAGGCACATGCTAATGGTTTCTTCCTTATCTGGGGCAGGCACTCACCTGGTCCACATCTCTAATTTGCATTACCTGTCTCTCTTTTAGGCACTTGGGTTTGAGACCCTTGGATTATGCACACAAATTCCTATGAAAATCAGGTGCCTTGTAAGTGTCTGTCTTGCCCGGTGTTAAAAGTTCTTAAATGGTTTAGTTTCCAGCTTATAATTATAGGTGTTCAAATTAATTGAAGCACTCATGTATTAACTGAACAACAGCCACATGTTTTTCATCTTAGCAAACTATCGCTAATTGTAATAAAAAGAAGGGCCCTAGGAAAAATAAGTGATTTAGTTTAATCACAGTATTCCCATTCTGTGTCACCATTAAGTGCATACGCATTTTCCCTATTTATTATGGACCATTCAAGTTGAAAACATAAAGAGAGGCTTCATTTTTATAGCCGAAATTTATCTGTGCCAAATTAGATGCTGGATAATCTGACCCATTCAAAGGCTTCAGCTTCCCAGATCTCGTAGTGACTTGTTTTGACTACTGGCTGAGCCAGTTTGCAGATTGGTGTGTCACCATGAAACTTCTATTGGAACATTCTTCAGTTTGCAAATGTAAGTCATCTTGAGACCAAACAAATGGTCTTATTTATAGGCTTTCTCAAAGATCCAGCATAAGTTGGGAAAATCCTTTATACTAGACCAGTCTGACTGCACAAAAGACTTGGCAAATGATAGCAATGTACCTCCTGTTAGGGGTTAATTGGTCAGCTACACTTCTTCTTAAATAATAAAAATGTCCTATTTGAAAAAATGAGAAAACTTCCCCTCCCCC